GTGTTATACTTTAAAAGAGTATAACTTGCTAGAGTCAGCTAGAGTCAACGCTGAGAAAAACCTAAGTCTTACCATAGATCAAGTCGTAACTCATAATTCTGACTCTAACACAAAACCTGGTATTACAATACGACTAACAACTTAACACACCTATTTTTGGAAGAGTCCATTGTCGAACACTGGTGAAAGGAAACACGTTGTAGAGTCTATTAGCTCTAACGCAGGGTATTTCTTGCTTTAGACTCAAAACAGACATTGGCTGTTTTAACTTTCGACAACTTTAAAGTTGTGCCACCTACAACTGCTGTAACATGTTGTAAATGAACCATTGAATGTTGATTTAATGTCAGCGATAAAACCAATGGACTGTTTCATATCTCATGCAAACTGCAGTTAAACCTTTCATACATATGGATAAGCTAAGTCATTTCTAATACTAAATATGGAAAGACTGTTACATCCACCATACAAAATACCGGCTAGCTGTTCCATCTTCCTTATAAAATATCGACAGCCAAATTTTAAAAAACAAAACAGCACCCGTGTTTTCTACAATGTAACATCAACATTTATACAGAGACAAGGATTTGTCTCCATAATTGCCTCAAATAGCCGTTCTATTTTTGAAAACCAGAAAAGGCTGTTCAATTCTTTAAACAAAACATCGAATGGCTGTTCCATTCTTTGAACAAAAAAACAGCTGTTAAAATTTTTCCCCCTCTCGTGAAACGTCACCGGGCTTCTAGAGAGTAGGAATTGTCTCTATTAGAAATTGTTTCAGTCACATGACCGGAATCAAATTTCATGCGGTACTGCCGTGCCAGCAGCGAGGGGAACCGGAAATAGAATTAGATGGCAGACGACGAGTTCTGTTTTCAGACCAGTGTCGTGGTACGCCTCAGAACTAACGAGATCTGATGGGCCGTAGGGGCGCGCGGCCCGCGGGCGCGGGGAGTCGTACTGCGCGGGGTAAGGGGATCAAAGCAAGGGGGCGTGGGGGGGGGGGGCTTATGGCTATAAAGATAACCCATCCAATTACGGGTGGGTCTATCTCGGTCAGAATCTGGCTTGTTTGAAATGCGTTTGACTACTATGTTCTATTGCAGCGGTTCCCAATCTGGAATACACGTACCGTGAGGGTGTATGCGCGAACGATAAAATGGACGCGACGTTTTATGGAAGAAATATTGCTATTAATCATATTCATTTGTTTTTATGGGTGTGGTTAAAAAAAATATATTTGATATTTGACATAGGCCTACACATGAATTGTTGAATGTACCTCTACGCCAACATCATATAGGAGGTTTTAAAATTCTGGGATATTTTTGATGGTATTTACAGTCTGGCTTGGTGTACTGGATGAGAACATGGATAACAATTTAGTAGTGGGTTTGGCTGTTTGCATGAAACACGAAAACCTCGGACAAACACCCGAGTAGGCTGGGATGTGTGTAATAGAATCTGTTCGGTACATCTTGATCCTTGCAGCATCTTCTGTATTGTGATTGGTAACCTAAACACCATACTGGGTGACCAGTAGAGTACTGGGTGACCAGTAGAGTACTGGGTGACCAGTAGAGTACTGTGTGACCAGTAGAGTACTGTGTGACCAGTGGAGTACTGTGTGACCAGTGACCAGTAGAGTACTGTGTGACAAGTGACCAGTAGAGTACTGGGTGACCAGTAGAGTACTGTGTGACCAGTAGAGTACTGTGTGACCAGTAGAGTACTGTGTGACCAGTAGATTACTGGGTGACCAGTAGAGTACTGTGTGACCAGTAGAGTACTGGGTGACCAGTAGAGTACTGGGTGACCAGTAGAGTACTGTGTGACCAGTAGATTACTGGGTGACCAGTAGAGTACTGTGTGACCAGTAGAGTACTGGGTGACCAGTAGAGTACTGGGTGACCAGTAGAGTACTGTGTGACCAGTAGATTACTGGGTGACTAGTAGAGTAGGCCTACTGGGTGACCAGTAGAGTACTGTGTGACCAGTAGAGTACTGTGTGACCAGTAGAGTACTGTGTGACCAGTAGAGTACTGGGTGACCAGTAGAGTACTGGGTGACCAGTAGAGTACTGTGTGACCAGTAGATTACTGGGTGACTAGTAGAGTAGGCCTACTGGGTGACCAGTAGAGTACTGTGTGACCAGTAGAGTACTGTGTGACCAGTAGAGTAATGTGTGACCAGTAGAGTACTGTGTGACCAGTAGAGTACTGTGTGACCAGTAGATTACTGGGTGACCAGTAGAGTACTGTGTGACCAGTAGAGTACTGTGTGACCAGTAGAGTACTGGGTGACCAGTAGAGTACTGGGTGACCAGTAGAGTACTGGGTGACCAGTAGAGTACTGGGTGACCAGTAGAGTACTGGGTGACCAGTAGAGTACTGTGTGACCAGTAGAGTACTGTGTGACCAGTAGAGTACTGGGTGACGAGTAGAGTACTGGGTGACCAGTAGAGTACTGGGTGACCAGTAGAGTACTGTGTGACCAGTAGAGTACTGTGTGACCAGTAGAGTACTGTGTGACCAGTAGAGTACTGTGTGACCAGTAGAGTACTGGGTGACCAGTAGAGTACTGGGTGACCAGTAGAGTACTGTGTGACCAGTAGAGTACTGGGTGACCAGTAGAGTACTGGGTGACCAGTAGAGTACTGGGTGACCAGTAGAGTAGTGGGTTACCAGTAGAGTACTGTGTGACCAGTAGAGTACTGGGTGACCAGTAGAGTACTGTGTGACCAGTAGAGTACTGGGTGACCAGTAGAGTACTGTGTGACCAGTAGAGTACTGGGTGACCAGTAGAGTACTGGGTGACCAGTAGAGTACTGTGTGACCAGTAGATTACTGGGTGACCAGTAGAGTACTGGGTGACCAGTAGAGTACTGGGTGACCAGTAGCGTACTGGGTGACCAGTAGAGTACTGTGTGACCAGTAGAGTACTGTGTGACCAGTAGAGTAGTGGGTTACCAGTAGAGTACTGTGTGACCAGTAGAGTACTGGGTGACCAGTAGAGTACTGGGTGACCAGTAGAGTACTGTGTGACCAGTAGAGTACTGGGTGACCAGTAGAGTACTGGGTGACCAGTAGAGTACTGGGTGACCAGTAGAGTACTGGGTGACCAGTAGAGTACTGGGTGACCAGTAGAGTACTGGGTGACCAGTAGAGTAGTGGGTTACCAGTAGAGTACTGTGTGACCAGTAGAGTACTGGGTGACCAGTAGAGTACTGTGTGACCAGTAGATTACTGGGTGACTAGTAGAGTAGGCCTACTGGGTGACCAGTAGAGTACTGGGTGACCAGTAGAGTACTGGGTGACCAGTAGAGTACTGTGTGACCAGTAGAGTACTGGGTGACCAGTAGAGTACTGGGTGACCAGTAGAGTAGTGGGTTACCAGTAGAGTACTGTGTGACCAGTAGAGTACTGGGTGACCAGTAGAGTACTGGGTGACCAGTAGAGTACTGGGTGACCAGTAGAGTAGTGGGTTACCAGTAGAGTACTGTGTGACCAGTAGAGTACTGGGTGACCAGTGACCAGTAGAGTACTGTGTGACAAGTGACCAGTAGAGTACTGGGTTACCAGTAGAGTACTGTGTGACCAGTAGAGTACTGGGTTACCAGTAACCAGTAGAGTACTGGGTGACCAGTAGAGTACTGTGTGATCAGTGACCAATAGAGTACTGGGTTACCAGTAGAGTACTGGGTGACCAGTAGAGTACTGTGTGACCAGTAGAGTACTGGGTGACCAGTAGAGTACTGGGTGACCAGTAGAAAACGTTATCACCATTGGCCAGTACATTACCTGTTGATCAGGAACAAAACATACCCTAAAATTCAAACAAAATGTCCAAAAAGACAATACCGGCTTAATGAATGAATGCTTGACGTATCTAAAAGTTGTGGTTCATTTAAACGAGTTTGAGGACTGCTGATCTATGTAGATTACGTTTAAAGCAAGTATAAAAAATAATGCTTGTTTTTTTTTATCTTTTAGTCTAAAAGCTAGCTAGGGGGCGTGTCGCCAATTGAGCAGACTTGTTCAAAGGGCCGCTATTCGATTCCAGGCCTGCTCGCCCGTGAGGGTCATCCCCCTTGATGAAATCATTAATCACCAGCCATCGATTGGGCGGCACTCGTCACGTGGTGGACCGCCTCGGCACCATGATAGCGGTACTTTGGTGGTGTTGGTGGTGGTGGTGGTAGTGACGACAGCGGTAGTGTGAGGGTGGCGGCGGAGCTTAGTCGCGCTCCTGCGCCCCGGTCAGGGCTCTTGTCTCGACAGGAGCTTAAGGGAGATCAATGACAGGAGCTTAAGGGAGATCAATGACAACAGAAATGGGGCCGCAACCACCAAAATCAACGAGGTGGCGTTACTAAAGATGGCGGTAAATTGACGCAAACTGCGAATAACAAATAAACTAAGGGACGCAACTAAAGTATAAATAAAGGGACGAAATCAACGTAAACAACCAAGGGCGAAAAATAAAGGGTTAAGTCGGTACTTTAAAAAGCAAGGGACGCAATCAATACCAACTACAAAGGGACACAAATAACGAAAACAACAAAGGGGCATCACTAAGAAAGATACATCTATCCGAAAATCAAAGGGACGCAACCCAAGAAAACATCTAACAGCCGTGAATCAAGCCCAAGGCTTCTTATACGACTGTACTATCTAGATCTTGCTCATCGCCTGCACTCAAACCCTTGAGATACTCAGTAAATATCAGGTTGCCGACCCCTGCGTTAGACCAACGCATCCACATAAAAAAAAATTTCAATTGTCCAGATTTTATTTATCTTAAAACATAACCATCTGTCCCTTTCTTGTCTCCTCCTAACTCAAAGTGTTTGCAGCGCTTGATTGGTAATTGTTTCCTATATTTACATTCAGTGCACTCCATACGATAGACACTTTTTCTGGTGGTTTTAGCCTTCTTTCTAAAGGCTGGCTTGGACTGACCACCATAACCGCTCTGCTTTTTGTCTTAGCGTCTTTTACCTTGGACATCCTGAGTATGCTTTCCTGCTTTGTTCTGAGTAACTTTATGTATCGTGTGCTTTTTGCATTTCTTGCTCTTGCAGAAGGTGTGTCTTTGTTTTGGAACATTCCCCATTATCTGCATTAAATTAAGACTTTTTTTTTCCCGCTTCAATTTACAGCGTCAGTTGTGTTTTCGCTTTAGTATTAGTTTTTATCATCGGCTTGTGAGGACGTATACAGATTTACAATAGTAATATTTCTTTCTTACGTGTAGCCTTCTTTCATTCATTTAAGATGGTTTATTTATACATAGATCTAATACAAAACGTCTAAATATTTAAAAAAAAAAACTAAACAAAAAAGAAAAAAAACATTAAATTAATTTAATTTTTTTTAATTTTTAAATTTTTTTCTTTTTTTTTTAATTTAAAAAAAAATGTACATTAATTTAAAACAAAATATGCTGCCGCCTTTCCTGCTGCTTCTATTACCACATTGAGAATCTACACTGTCTATATTATCAAGTGCATTTTTAAACCTTAAAGTTTACAGCTTTATTTTAAAACCCTCACGTCGTTTGAGATATTACTGTACTTGTACGACAAAACCTTATTAAAACTCCACCAAAGTTTAGATTATTTTGAACCTTAATAAACCCCCCCCATCCCCCACTCCTCTACCTCACATCATGCATATATATATCAAGGAACCGCAAAAGCCCGTAACTTTTTTTTTACCTCCCCTTGTAATAAACGTTACACAAGGCCAATCGCACGCAAGGTTACTGACACAAAAAGGGGAGCGAAACTCAGGACAGAGAAAAAAAGCCTCGGTGGCGGTTCACTCCCCTTCCCATAGACAGAAAGCTATTAAATGGATTGATTTTTTCCTCCCATAATTTAAAAAAAAAATTGGACAAAGTGTTTGATAAAATAGCTTGGTAGTCAGGGCTAGTGTGTCGATGGCCTCATCAAACAGATCATATGGGATCAACATTTTTTTTAATTCTCGCTCAAAAAAAAAACCTATCCCGGTGTATTGATTCTCAGTCAGAAACTTATCCCAATTTATTAGTTCCTTAATGTAAATATTTATCCTAGAGTGATCTCTCACGAAGTTGTTTCAAATGAAACATAGTAGTTCCTTCTGTAGGTGGAATAGTTCTTTATGTGGGTGAAGTAGTTCTCTATGAGGAGTAGTAGTTCTTTATGTAGAGTAATAGTTTTTTATGTAGATATAGTAGTTCTTAACGTAGGCATAGTAGTTCTTTATGTGGGTGTAGTAGTTCATTATATATACTAAGTAGCTCTTGGTGTAGGAATTGTAGCTCTTTATAACGTTTTCATTTATGATGAATTCTTAATTGTCACTTTTTCCTAGCATATAGTTTTCTGTGATCCCAATGTATTAGTTCTCTGTCCCAATGTTGAAACAACACATTCGGGATGTTGGTCTAAAATTACCGCCCTTTATTAGTTCCCTGTCACAGAGTTATCTCACCTTTTTTGGCGAGGAGGGTGAAGGGAGATCAATCCTTGGAGCAGGGACTCCAGTCAGATTAGTTCCCCTGATGAACGCTTCACGGAGAGTTACCCCCTCGTTATGGCGCAGTTGTCGTCCTTGTTTGGTGAGTCCAGTTGTGCTACCTGCTAGTCAACGGCTGTCGTGACGTCAAATCTAGTCAACGGCTGTCGTGACGTCAAATCTAGTCAACGGCTGTCGTGACGTCAAATCTAGTCAACGGCTGTTGTGACGTCAAACATAGTCAACAGTTGTCGTGACGTCAGATCTAGTCAACAGTTGTCGTAATGTCAAACAGTCAACGGCTGCCGTGACGTCAAACATAGTGTTTCTTCCAGACTTTTTTCTCGGGGGGGGGGGGGGGGCGAGGGGGGCACTTGAAATTTTCGGGGAGGGGCGGACACTGTTAAAAGTATATATATTTTCTATATACATTTCATTTCGTTCGGGGGACGGGGAGGGGGGGGGGACGGTAGTTTGGAAGAAACTCTGAACATAGTAAACAGTGTTACAGTTGTAGTGACGTCCAACAGCTGTCTAGTCAACAGTTGTGACGTCAAAGGGTTGTGACGTTCTACGCATACTTTAACGAATTTTTGTATCCATGTCGCATTTACTACCAAATCTATAGCAGTACAACACTAAGCAATAATCAAACAAAAGTCAGCTATTTTTATATTTTTAAAACAAGTCTAACCTAAAAAAAAAACGGTGGGGGAGGGGTGGCTATTATTACAAAACTCTGTAACAACCGAAGACAGAAAAAAAAAAACGACAGAAAAACAAGAGTCGTTAGTCTAAGGACCAGAACCCAACCTAGCGAAAGATCACATTTAGAAAATTGACGACAGTCGACAAACGACGCTACTCCAGACAGCCGAAGGCCGATACCCTGCTCTTGGTACCAAAAGAAAAGAAAAAGGCCGTACCCCTGACCAATTTGTAGAGTGGAGAAAATGTAGCCGGGGACAAATGGACAAAAAATTGGTCAAGTTTAATGTAAAGTTGACTTTTTTTTGGGAGAGTTCCAAATGTTTAAATTGAGTGAATTTTTGGTGAATTTTTTTTAGTGAATTCTCTTGTGGTTCTGGTCACGTGGTAATGCTGGAGGGAAATGTAACAGCCGTTGTAAAGTCTGATGTGTTGTTTTGTTTGAACGTGAGGGTATTAGTGGTGTTGTCAGTGTGTTTGTGGTTGTATTAGTGGTGTTGTCAGTGTGTTTGTGATGTGGTGGTATTAGTGGTGTTGTCAGTGTGTTTGTGATGTGATGGTTTTAGTGGTGTTGTCAGTGTGTTTGTGATGTGGTGGTATTGGTGGTGTTGTCAGTGTGTTTGTGGTGTGATGGTATTAGTGGTGTTGTCAGTGTGTTTGTGGTTGTATTAGTGGTGTGGTCAGTGTGTTTGTGATGTGGTGGTATTAGTGGTGTTGTCAGTGTGTTTGTGATGTGATGGTATTCGTGATGTTGTCAGTGTGTTTGTGGTTGTATTAGTGGTGTTGTCAGTGTGTTTGTGATGTGATGGTATTAGTGTTGATGTAGTGGTCTTTGTGATGTTGTGGTGGTATTAGTGATGTTGTCAGGGTCTATGCAATGTAGGGTCTTTTGTTTTATTATAATTTGGTAGCGTGTTAAGGTCTAATAATTTGTGTTTAAGTTTATTAGATCAGTTTATGTTGAAAATGTGGGTTTATAATTAGGCTCTTTGTTAAAATTTCATCAATTAAATTTTTACAACAATTACAGTGTAGTATTTGTAATATTTCCTGTATAGTAACACTCTCTGACGCTAAATATTATTGTATTATTGCACCCTAGGGTAACTTACAAGAGTTAGAGAGTTGCATCCCCTTACCACTACAAAACTAACATTTCAAGTGCAGATAATCTCAAGAACCAACCACAGCAACTGATCTAAAATAACCGGTGCATGAGATTAATCGACCTAACGTCATCGATTTAAAAAAAAATTAAACTGATCTCGTCTTATCCAACTCGAACAAGGTGAAATAATTCCCGATCGATCAAGGATTACTGGATCGATGAAGGATTACAGAATCGATGAAGGATTACAGGATGCAGGCAAGGATTTTAATGAAGCTCTCTCTCTCTCTCTCTCTCTCTCTCACAGACAGCGCCCACCCGTCGATACACACAGCCAGAGCTGACTGGACATTCCAATCACTGGACACGTCCATTCAATGGATGGAATTAATCCACCCCCCCCCATCTCCAGCCCTCACACCCACACGTTAATGTAACCCCCGCACCTCCCATGTAGATGTTTTACCACCACCCCTAAGTATACACCCCCCCCCCCAGTCTTCACGGATAAATCTCTCTATCCCCCATGTAGTGATTTCACCCCACCGGCACGTAGACGTGTATCCACGCATGAACAAGCAGATGTATCTCCCCTCCCCCAATTTGGATGTTGCACTCACACCCACGGGGAGTTGTATCACACTCACCCTTAAATATCTGTATCACCCCCACCCCCACCCCACCACATATGTATCAACTCTCGCAATACAAATCGCTCTTGCTTTAATAGGTTGTCTCAAGCAGCTTTGGTGTAGTGAAACAGGTGGGGTGCTACAAGCAAACACAACATCGATGTCAAGGCGTCGCTGGGTGGTTTAGGTCAGTATCACGTGGTTCAGTCTTGTGTAAAGGGTTAATCGTGGTTATGTCCGGAGATGGCCGAAACTTGGTTTTTAAAGGGTTAATCGTGGGTATAACAATAAGACATAACCATAACTTTGTTTATAAATCGACAGAGTTATCATTGGCCCAGTTGTGTGTTTATCTTTGACTCCAGCTGAGGACTGCGATGGTACTAGCTATGGCTGGAACTATCGCTGGCTCCTATTAATATACTAGCTATGGCTCCATCTTATGGCTCCAGCTATGGAGGCAACGATGGATGGAACTAGTTAACAAGAGATGTCTTGTCTTGTGTAGCTATCGATGTCTTTTGTAGCTATCGATGTCTTGTGTTGTGTCTTGAGTTGTGTAGCCAGCGATGGCCCTGGCACCTTGTAGAGAGACGGCTGTATCGATGACCTCGGCCATGGGGGCGATCGATGTTTCTTAATCAGATAAAAAGTCGTTTTCAAGAAACTCGGAAAACCCGTGTAGAAGATATTAACATAAAGAAAGAAACAAGGCCTTTTGGCCACATTAACAGGTGTGGTAAATTTTGAGCAAGGCAGTTTGGCCACTTTAACAGGGCAGTGGGTACATGTGAAAAAAGGCAGTTGGGCACCAAACTAAACAGAGATAAAGCCAGAGACAAAGGGCATTAATAATGAGATTATAAAGCCTTATCTGCAAGTCTTCATTGAATGCACGGCAACAAGATTTGATCCTGTCCTCATCACATGTAGTCTATATTTGTTGAAGAACCTTAGTGTTTGAACAAATTTGAAGCCCTGCAACATTCTCTATCCATCATCACCCTTCCACAGTTTTTATACCCCTATAGTGCTAAACATAAAGCTTTGATCCTGAACAACACTCCCATATCGTGGGCTTTGACCCCTAGCATAGGGTGGGTTTTTGATCCCTCCAAAAGGTTGAGGTCAAACTTTTTTATTTCGAGCTGTATCGATAAT